TGTGCTGCTACAGGCCTGGCGACCCGGCTGAGCCGCCGGCGGGTGTCATGCCGTGAGCTGGGCCGGCCGGACTATGACGGCTGGCTCCTGTTGCGAAAGGCACCCGGTGGCTTCATGGGCCCGCGCTGGCGCCGCTGCTGGTTTGTGCTCAAGGGACACACGCTCTACTGGTACCGCCAACCCCAGGTAAGACCCCCCACACACAAACGGGTAGGCAAGTGAGTCACCTCCAGGCCTCAATTCTCATCTCTGTTCAATCATCCATTCTTATTCCTGGTCCCAGGCTCTGATGTTCCCATCTGTTAAATAGGGACTTTCTTCAGAGAGAAATGAGTTAATATATGTATAAAAGCAGTTTGGAAAAGGTATCACAGGAGGTATAGAGAAAAATCTTTTTTTTTTTTTTTTTTTGAGACAGAGTCTCGCTCTGTTGCCCAGGTTGGAGTGCAGTGGCGTGATCTCAGCTCACTGCAAGCTCTGCCTCCCGGGTTCACGCCATTCTCCTGCCTCAGCCTCCCAAGTAGCTGGGACTACAGAAGACCGCCACCACAGCCAGCTAATTTTTTGTATTTTAGTAGAGACAGGGTTTCACCATGTTAGCCAGGATGGTCTCCATCTCCTGACCTCGTGATCTGCTTGCCTCAGCCTCTCAAAGTGCTGGGATTACAGGTGTAAGTCACCACGCCCAGCCCCGAAAAATCTTTTTTTTTTTTTTTTTTAAGAGATGGGGTCTTGCTATATTGCTCAGGCTTATCTCAAACTCCTGGGCTCAAGCGTTCTGCCTGCTTCAGCCCCCCAGAGTGCTGGGATTACAGGTGTGTGCCACCACATCTGGCTGAAAAATCACTTCTATTCTGCCCACTTCTTATCCTTCTGATATTCTGTCCATCCCAATGATGGGTCTTTCATTTACTCATTTATTCATTCAATATTCAGGTGCCTACTGTGAACCCAGCTCTAGGCTGGGCACTATGGACACACAGAAGAGCAGATGGTTTTTGCTTCTCCAGAACTTAGAGGCTATTAGGGGAGAGGGATGAATACACATTCAAGGACAATGTAGGAACTGTGTACTAAGATAAAGGGAAAGCCCAAGGGATGTGGGAGCACAACAGAGGTATCCAGTTCCTCCTGAGGAGTCCAGATGCCTCCTGACAACGCAATACCTGGCAGTTAGTTGCATGGGAAGGGGAAAGAAAACCAGGAAGAGAAAGCAGCATTCAGAAAACTCAGGGGCATGAAGCAGTTTGTTTGTGTCTACTGAAGGAACAAATGCATGAGCAGGCTTTTCTTGTTTGGGTTTTTGGTTTTTGTGTTTGAAACAGAGTCTTGCTTTGTCACCCAGGCTGGAGGGCAGTGGCATGATCTCAACTCACTGCAGCCTCTGCCTCCCAGGTTCAAGTGATCCTCCTGCCTCAGCCTCCTGAGTAGCTGGGACTGTAAGCACATGCCACCATGCCTAGCTAAGTTTTGTGTTGTTTTGTTTTGTTTTGTTTGAGACGGAGTCTTATTCTGTTGCCCAGGCTGGAGTGCAGTGGTGCAGTCTCGGCTCACTGCAACCTCTGCCTCCCAGGTTCAAGTGATTCTCCTGCCTCAGCCTCCTGAGTAGCTGGAATTACAGACACCTGCCACTACCCCTGGCTAATTTTTTGTAGTTTTAGTGGAGATGGGGTTTCACCATGTTGGCCAGGCTGGTCTCGAACTCCTGACCTTGTGATCCTCCAGCCTCAGCCTCCCAAAGCAGTGGGATTACAGATGTGAGCCACTGCGCCCGGCCTAAGATTTTAATTTTTTGTAGAAATGGGCTTTTTTCCAAGGCTGGTCTGAAACTCCTAGGCTCAAATGGTCCTCCTGCCTTGGCCTCCCAAAGTGCTAGGATTACAGGCATGAGCCATCATGCCCAGCCTTCAGGCTGCTCTTTTTTTTTGACTGTTTCTCTGATATCTTTGGCTCCCCTTTCCTGGCTTAGAGGCATCCTTTGGCCACACCTCCTACCCTGACCCCAGATTCCAGCCCTGAGCTCTAGAAACAGACTTGTTAGAGAGCCCAGGAGATGCCTTCTCCCCTCCACAACCCTCAGGAGCCCGAGGGGTATCTAGGAGCTGACTGGGCCTTGAGAGTATTGGGGTTCCAACCTGACCCTCATGTTGTGATCCCCCCAGGATGAGAAGGCTGAGGGCCTCATCAATGTCTCCAACTATAGTCTGGAAAGTGGACATGATCAGAAGAAGAAATAGTTAAGTCTTGGGATATGATGGGCTGGGGGATGGAGACAGAAAGGGAGAGGAAGAGTGATGGGGTGGCAGTGGGAGGTGTGGCAAGTGGCTGGGGCGCCCAGAATCCAGCCTCTCTGGGCTCTGGGTGGGCACGCCCAGGCTGAGTGATGCTCCTCCACTCCTTGACAGTGTGTTTCAGCTCACCCATGATGTGTACAAACCCTTCATCTTCGCTGCTGATACCCTGACAGATCTGAGCATGTGAGTGCTGCCTCCCTTAGCCCCTACTCTCATATAATTCCCAACCTCTGTGAGCTTGGGAGCCTGGGCTCAGGAGCCTGGAGATGCAAAGTCTAGCTCCCTGAGAGTGGTTGGTCAAGTACTCACTTCTCTCTCTTTTTTTTTTTTTTTTTTTTTTTGAGACAGAGTCTTACTATGTCAGCCAGGCTGGAGTGCAGTGGCGCCATCTTGGCTCACTGCAACCTCTACCTCCTGGGTTCAAGTGATTCTCCTGCCTCAGCTTCCTAGGTAGCTGAGACTATAGGTGCCTACCACCACACCTGGCTAATTTTTGTATTTTTAGTAGAGACGGAGTTTCACTGTGTTGGCCAGGCTGGTCTTGAACTCCTGAACTTGTGATCTGCCCTCCTCGGCCTCCCAAAGTGCTGAGATTACAGATGTGAGCCACCGCGTCCGGTGTCTCTCTTTTTTTTAATTAAAAAGTTTTGGGGGCAGATGGGATTTGCTCTTTTGCCCTAGCTGGTCTCAAACACTTGGTCTTAAACAATCCTCCTGCCTCAGCTCCCCAAAGTGTTGGGGTGACGGACGTGAGTCACCGCATGCAGTCAGTACTCAGTTCTCTAAGCCCCAGTTTCATCATCTCTAAAATGGGTGACTAAGAGTTCATCCTTCTCAGAGTTGCTCTGAGAATCATCAGAAGATGATGTGGGTAAAAAGCCCCTAGCATACAAGAGGACCCCGGAGGATGGAAACCCCGTGAGACCTGCTTGCTCTCTGTAGGTGGGTGCGTCATCTCATTACCTGCATCTCCAAGTACCAGTCTCCGGGCCGGGCGCCCCCGCCTCAAGAGGAAGGTAGGTGTCTCACAGGGTTGAGTAGGAGGAACCCTCACCTGAGCCTCTGCCTTTCCTGGGATGGGGGCTGGGAATTCAAATGCCCTAGGCCACTCCCTGGCCTCCCCAAAGCCCACTGCTCCTCTTCACCCCAGACTGCTACAGTGAGACCGAAGCAGAAGACCCAGATGATGAGGCTGGGTCCCGCTCAGCCTCGGTGAGTAGGGGGCTGCCAGGGGTAGGAGGTGGGGATAAATAGCAGGGCATGGAGCTCAGACAGAGACCCTCTGTGCTTTCCACCCTGCCTGCAGCCCAGCCCTGCTCAAGCTGGGAGTCCCCTCCATGGAGACACATCACCTGCAGCCACCCCCACACAGTGCAGCCCACGGACCTCCTTTGGCTCTCTGACAGGTGCTGGGCTGGAGTTGGGAGCTGGGCTGGGAGCTGGGGTGGGCACATCCTCATCCTGCTCCTCCCTCCCACAGACAACAGTGAAGAGGCACTGGAAGGAATGGTACAGGGGCTGAGGCAGGGTGGTGTGTCCCTCCTAGGCCGGCCACAGCCCCTAACCCAGGAACAGTGGCGGAGCTCTTTCATGCGGCGCAACCGAGACCCTCAGCTCAATGAGCGAGTGCACCGTGTACGGGCGCTACAGAGCACACTCAAGGTCAGCTGGGGACTCTGGGCACAGCAAGGGACTAAGCTCTGGGCTTCAGGCTTTGGTTTGCGGCTCTCACCTCCACCCTGGGCACCAGACTCCAGACTCAGCTCTGGACTCTGAGCTTAGCAGCTGACAATGGGCTCAGCTGTGGACTGGGCCAGGCTCTGGGTTCTGAGTGGGGATTTGAGTCTCACCTGGGCTCCTCGTGCCACGCTGGCCACGTGCTGGCTTCTAGGCACCAGACTCCAGAGTGAAGTCTGGCCTCAGACTCTGCCCACATCCCTGGGTGATCACGGTCCCTTAGCCCCTCCTCTCCACACAGGCAAAGCTGCAGGAGCTGCAGGTCCTAGAAGAAGTGCTGGGTGACCCTGAACTGACAGGAGAGAAGTTCCGCCAGTGGAAGGAGCAGAACCAGGAGCTGTACTCAGAGGGCCTGGGGGCCTGGGGAGTGGCACAGGCTGAAGGCAGCTCCCACATCTTGGCCTCTGACTCCAGAGAACATACCCCCAACTCCCTGTGCTCTGACCCTGAAGAGCACTCCCATCTCTGCCCTCTGACCTCAGAGAGCAACCTCCAACCTCCTGACCTCTGACCCTGGCCAGCACTCTAGCTCCTGACCTTTGACCCGAGGGCCACCTCAACCCCAGCTTCTGACATGTCCAGGACAGAGCATCCCTGGATTCTGTTCAGGGTGGGAAGTAGTACTGCTAATCACGGTCTCACCCTGAGCTGACCCCTCTGCCTGCGCTTTGTGCCACCCTCTCTCTTGCCAAAGAAGAAACTCTCCCACCCCATCCTCCCATCTCTGGGCCACAGCCCTGCCCCTCCAGTTCCTTGACAGTTCTCCCCCAAAACCAGGTCTGTACAGGTGTTCTTTGTTTTACATGAGGGCTACTTTCCAACCAAATACAGTCAATTTTTTAAAAAATGAGTTTACATGTATCTTTACTTCCATATTTGAATTGGAAATCTGCCCCCCGGTGGGAACTGGGGTGAGTGCTCTTGGCCAGAGAGGGGGTGGCAGACCCTTGGTGCAGCCTGTTGATGTACATGCGAGTACCTGAGCTCCAAGCCTGCCAGGATGGTGGGTCCACCTCTCCCCAGCTCTTTGAAGGCTAATGGTGATCTCCTACCCCATTCCCCAGGGGCACACAATGAGAAACTTTCACTTCATAGATGGGGAAATGTACTTTGCATGGAAAGGTGGTGGGGACAGTCCTGGAGACTGGGCAGGTAGGACAGGGCAGCTGGTACAGAGGGGTGCAGGTTGAGGTCTGCCCTGGGAAGGCCCTGGGGAAAACACTTCTCCACTCCTCATTCCAGCCTCACCTCCACCTCCTGGATCCAAGGCAGGGACACGTCCCTATGACTCCATCCAGGCTGCACAGGAGATCTGACCTGCTCCCATCAGCCTGTGACTTCCAACCCCAGCCCAGCATCCCCAGACATCCTCTGTGGGATGCGGAGGAGGGACAATGGGAGGAGCTTCTCTCCTGGTTGGAATTCCTCAGTAGAATGCAGAAGGCTGGAGGTCACAGAGGCCTCTGTGATATAACCACAAGGGGGAGTGAGACCACTTGGAGTGAAGATTCTTTGAGGAGAAAGAAGAGACTGAGCAACCATGAGGGATAATGAAAAGGCCTGGTGGCAGCAGTGGACCTCCCACACAGGCCTCGTGGTTGGGGGCGGGACTCAGGAGGACCGTATGAGGTTTGGAAGGGGAGTAGCTGCACTGAGGGGCCGCCCCTCTCTCCTGCAGAGTACCATTCACGAGTCCTATGGTCAACCAGAGGAGCAGGTGCTCATCAACCGCCGGGACATCATGAACAAAGCGGTAAGGATAGCTTCCGCCCCACAGTGGCCCCTCCTGCAGCTGTGCTCATGGGCAGCAGACCCTCGCGGTAACTCTGCCCCCTCTCCCATCTAAACACCCCCAGAGGACCCTCCCTAGCACTGACCCCTGAGTGACTGCCCTTGATATGTTAGTAACTCTCTGGCAGTGCCCCCCATAGGAACCCTTATATAACGATCATCTTCACTATCAGAGAGCCCAAAGAGATTCTCTGGCAATGACTTCCACAAAAATCCCCCAATAGTAACCCACTTTTAGTGGCCATTTAGATAGTGACCTCTACACTGATGTCTCCATTCCATGATCCACTCTCAGGTGACTTTCCCCCTCTAGAGTGGGCCCCAGGGACCCCCATTCTCTAAGAGCAAACCTCCAGGCAGAGGCCTCCTATGGTGACACCTGCCTGAGGGAAGGTCCTGCCCTCTCCCAGGACACCTGGGACATGCAGGAGTACATCACTCGCATGTACATCAAGCAGCTGCTCCGACACCCCGCCTTCCAACTGCTGCTGGCCCTGCTGCTGGTGATCAACGCCATCACCATCGCTCTCCGCACCAACTCCTACCTGGACCAGGTGGGACACCAGCATGACCTCTGCCCCACTAACCCTAATGGGGGCCCTGGGGCGAGAACTCTTCCGGCCTCAGGCTCCTTATCTGTCTATGATGGTTGGATTGGGTGCTCTTCAAGGGTCTGTCAGCTCTGACCTTCTAGGAATCTGGAGATCAAGGAAGACTTCATGGTGGAGAGGGCTCTGCAGCCTGGCTTTGAGGAATGCATTGGATTTGTACAGGAAGGACAGGAGAAGAATGGTGTGAGGAGAGGGAGGCAAATGGGTGCCTTGTGGATAAGGGGTATCCAATTCTAACCAGCACTTACTAAAGGACAATCACTCAGTGCCAGGTACTGACTGTGCAGACTGCCAGGGTCCCAGGGATAATAAGCACAACTGGGTCCTGTCTCAGACACACAGAAACTGTCATTACAAGTGCCCAAGTAGCACCCAGAGTACATGGAGGCTCAACGAAGGCACTCGAACCTAATCTGGGGGATCAGAGCTGGCTTCCTGGAGAAAGTGACACTGGAGTTGAGAGTAAAAAGTAGGATGTGATCTCAGTCACTACAACAAAGAAACAGAAAAAAAGAGCATGTAGGAGTCGGCCAGGCAAAGAGAGGTGGGGAGACTGGGGGAAAAACAGCATATGAGAGACTTCTCTGTGTCCAACTTGAAGTTCAGTGTGACTTATCCTTGATGTTTTAATTTCTTTTCTTTTTTTTTTTGTTTTAGAGACAGGATCTCACTCTGTCACCCAGGCTGGTGTGCAGTGGCACCATCTTGGCTCAATGCAGCCTTGAACTCCTGGACTCAAGTGATCCTCCTCCCTCAGCCTCGCAAGTAGCTAGGACTACAGGCACGAGATACCACGCCTGGCTAATTAAAAACTTTTTTTGAGCCAGGCGCAGTGCTTCACACCTGTAATCCCAACACTTTGGCAGGCTGAAGTGGGTGGATCACCTGAGGTCAGGAGTTCAAGACCAGCCAGCCTGGCCAACAGGGTGAAACCCCGTCTCTATTAAAAATACAAAACTTAGCCGGGCATTGCAGTGGGTGCCTATAATCCCAGCTACTTGAGAGGCTGAGGCAGGAGAATCACTTGAACCCAGGAGGCGGAGTTTGCAGTGAGCTGAGATGTCACAAAAAAAAAAAAAAAAAAGAAATAAAAGTAAGAGAGGAGACATGGTGACTTGGGACTGTTAGGTGGAGTCGGGCACTATGGGGGCTGTTAGTGGGGTTGCAGCCATAAGGAAGCTGAAGGAGGAGTTTCGAGATTGAGAGAAAGTGAATTGGGCTCTGGGCAGACCCCAGTCACCCATCTACCAATTCATCCATCCAGGGTGCATGTCCTGGACCCATGAGTGGCAGGATACCCAGGAGTTTGGTTAGGCCTAACTTGGAGTATTTGGAGAGCTGGAATAGCAGGAGAGGTTAGGACAGATGGAGCTTGGTGTTCTCTACCCTCAGGGGCCAGGTCTTTTCCTCCCAATCCTGGAGGCTGTTCTGTCTCTCCTACTTCCCTCTCCAAAATATCCCTATTCTAGAAGTTAGGGACAAAAGTCCGTAGTCAGACAACCATCTTTATCAACTAGCTGTGCACACACAGGCACCACTCTGATTCCACTTCTGTAAGATGGGAATAAAACCTACTTTGCAGGACAACAGTCATGGTAACATGAAGTGATATGTGATAGTCCCAGCACAGTGCCTGGCACGCACACGCAAAGTGTGTTTTAAAGGAAGTGACAAAGATGCTGAGGACCAAGAGCAGTAGTGATACGGGCCTTCCCTCCCCTACATACATCCTCTCCCTGCCGGCTTGCCCAGGCCCTGCTCCACTGACCTCTCTGCCCCTCTTTTTTCTCTGTCTTCCATGTAGAAACACTATGAGTTGTTCTCTACTATAGATGACATTGTGCTGACCATTCTTATGTGTGAGGTTCTCCTCGGCTGGCTCAATGGCTTCTGGATTTTCTGGAAGGTGAGATCTGGAGCCCTTTGCCCATACTCTTCCCTGGGGACTGCACACCACCCAGTCTGCCCCTGTACTCCTGGCCCTACAAACTGAGGGTGTGAGTATGTGTATAAACAGAGTGTGTTAGTTCTGAGATGTGTATGATGTGGCAGAAAGTAACTGGTACTAGAAGTGCAGCCTGCCTGGGCTCCAATTCCAATCCCTGCTCCAGCTTTCCCCAGCTCTGTAGTCTTAGACAAACCTGACTTCCTTATCTGAGAAATGGGGCTGAGAGGATCTACCTTAATTTACAGAGGTCAGCAGGGATCAGCAACACTTTTTCTGTAATGGGCTGGATAAAAAAGATTTTAAGCTTCACAGCTGTACAGTCTCTGTTACAATGACTCACCTCTGCTGTGGCAGAACAAAAGCAACCATGGACCGCACATAAATGAAGTGGGCATGGCTGTGTTCATGGACACCCAAATTGGAATTTCATGTAATTTTCACATGTTACAAAATCTGATTTTCCCTATTCACTTGCTTTACTCCTACTTACAGACTCGTTCAGATGTCTTCTCTTCCAGGAAGTCTTCCTGTCTCTCCCAGGATAGGTTAGGCGCTACTTTGTGTCTCCATGATGCTATGCACTTATTATTACTATTTTTTTTTCATGGAGTTAAAATTTGCTGTTTATCCATCTCCCTCAGAATAGTCTGTGAGCCCAACAGGGCAGGCATCCTATATTCTCAGGAACTGATCTGGGTATGGCACACAACAGGAGCTACATACTGAATGGATCTACGGGTGGATCTGCAGACAGGCAGGCTTGTATCTCCTTATGCATGTGAAGGTGCAGACTCAGTACGAGAGGCCAGCAGGACTTGTGCTTATTGGGTCCCCAATACATTTAAGAACTTTTTTTCCCATTAAATATAGTTTTCTTGTTGGCTGCAGTGGCTCATGCCTGTAATCCCAACACTTTGGGAGGCCGAGGTAAGAAGATCACTTGAGGCTAGGAGTTTGAGACAGACTGGCCAACATGGTGAAACCTCGTCTGTACTAAAAATACAAAAACTAGCTGGGCATGGTGGCGGGCGCCTGTAATCCCAGCTACTTAGAGGCCGAGGCAGGAGAACCGCTTGATCCCGGGAGGCGGAGGTTGCAGTGAGCTGAGATTGCACCACTGCACTCCAGTCTGGGCGACAGAGTGAGATTCTCTTTCCAAAAAAAGTTTTCTTTTTGAATATTTAATGCAGATATATGCTGGTAAAAACTATATTGAAAGGTACATATAGAATTATTGCTTCTCTCTTGTCCCCTCATCCCCTTTCTCCCACCACTATCCTTATAGTTTTTATATTTGTAGTCTCTTTTTTATTGTCTTCGTCCATTTAGTGTTGCTATAAAGGAATACCCAAGGTTGAATAACTTATAAAGAAAGGAGTTGTATTTGACTCTCAGTTCTGCAGGCTGTGTGAGAAGCATGGTGCCAACATCTGCTTCTGGTGAGGGCTTCAGGCTGCTTCCACTCATGACAGAAGGTGAAGCATGTGCAGATCACATGGTGAGAGAGGAAACAAAAGAGAGAGTGAGGGGAGATGCCGGGCTCTTTTTTTTTTTTTTTTTTTTTTTGAGACAGAGTCTTACTCTGTCACCCAGGCTGGAGTGCAGTGACGCGATCTCAGTTCACTGCAAGCCCCACCTCCCCGGGTTCACACCATTCTCCTGCCTCAGCCTCCCAAGTAGCTGGAACTACAGGCGCCCGCCACCATGCCTGGCTAATTTTTTGTATTTCACCGTGTTAGTCAGGATGGTCTCAATCTCCTGACCTCGTGATCCGCCCTCCTCGGCCTCCCAAAGTACTGGGATTACAGGCATGAGCCACCACACCTGGCCCATGCCAGCCTCTTTTTAACAAGCAGCTCTTGAGGGAACTCACTCATTACCTTCAGGATGGCACCAAGCCATTCATGACCCAACCACCTCCCATTAGGTCCCACCTCTAACACTGAACATCAGATTTCAACATGAGATTTGGAGGGGATAAGCATTCAAACTATAGCATCCTCCCAGTATTTATTTTTACAATAATCAGCAAGTATGTATATACTCTCAATCTTCCCTTTCCTAACAGTAACATAGCATAAACATTATTCTGCACTTTACTTTTGTCACTGAATGGATCCTGACAATCTTTCTACATCAGTACATAGAGATCTTTCTCATTTTTCTTTCTTTCTTTCTTTTTTTTTTTTTTTTTTTCTGTAGAGATGAGGTCTTGCTATGTTTTCCAGGCTGGGCTCAAACTCTTGGCCTCAAGTGATCCTCCTCCACCAGCCTCTCAGAGCACCAGGATTACAGGCAAAGGTCACCATACCTGGCCTCATTTTTCTTTTTTATAGCTACATAGTATTCTATTGATTTAATGGAATTTAACGTAACATCATTTACCCAGTCAGTCTCTTCTGATCATTGGACACATTGGTTTTCTTTACCTTTTTTTTTTTTTTTTGAGACAGAGTGTCACCCTTGTTGCCCAGGCTGGAGTACAATGACACTATTTAGGCTCACTGCAGCCTCGACCTCTTGGGCTTAAGTGATCCTCCCACCTCAGCCCTGCAAGTAGCTGGGACTACACAGGCACATGCCAACACCCCTGGCTAATTTATATATATATATATATACACACAAATTTTTTTTTTTTTTTTTTTTTTTTTGAGACGGAGTCTCGCTTTGTCGCCCAGGCTGGAGTGCAGTGGTACCATCTTGGCTCACTGCAAGCTCCGCCTCCTGGGTTCAGGCCATTCTCCTGCCTCAGCCTCCAAGTAGCTGGGACTACAGGCATGCACCACCACGCCCGGCTAGTTTTTTTGTATTTTTAGTAGAGACGGGGTTTCACTGTGTTAGCCAGGATGGTCTCGATCTCCTGACCTCGTGATCCACCCACCTTGGCCTCCCAAAGTGCTGGGATTACAGGCGTGAGCCACCGCGCCCGGCTAATTTTTATATTTTTTTGTAGAGACAGGGTTTCACCATATTGTCCAGGCTGGTCTGGAACACCTGAGCTCAAGCAATCCTCCTGCCTCAGTCTCCCAAGGTGCTGGAATTACAGACTTGCACCACTGTACCTGGCATGTTGGTTATTCTCAACCTTATACAAATTGTCATTTTGTACCTTAACCAGAGTATCTGCGGATCAGATTTCTAGCAGTGTGATCCTTGTTCAGATTTTTCATACCTGTGAGTTTCCTCCTCCTCCCCACCTCATTCCTGTGTAAGTGCCTTATTGGACAAAGGGCTTGCAAACTGTGCCTTTCTTTCTTTCTTTCTTTCTTTCTTTCTTTCTTTCTTTCTTTCTTTCTTTCTTTCTTTCTTTCTTTCTTTCTTTTCTTTCTTTCTCTTTCTTTCTTTCTTTTTCTTTCTCTTTCTTTCTTTCTTTCTTTCTTTCTTATCTTTTCCTTCCTTCCTTCCTTCCTTCCCTTCCTCCCTCCTCTTTCTTTCTCTCTTTCTTTCTCTCTCTTTCTTTCTTTCTTTCTTTCTTTCTTTCTTTCTCTCTCTCTCTCTCTCTTTCTTTCTTTCTTTCTTTCTCTCTCTCTCTCCTTCCTTCCCTTCCTTCCTTCCTTCCTTCCTTCCTTCCTTCCTTCCCTTTCCTTCCTTCCTTCCTTCCTTCCTTCCTTCCTTCCTTCCTTCCTTCCCTTCCTCCCTCCTCTTTCTTTCTCTCTTTCTTTCTTTCTCTTTCTTTCTTTCTTTCTTTCTTTCTTTCTTTCTTTCTTTCTTTCTTTCTTTCTTTCTTTCTTATCTTTTCCTTCCTTCCTTCCTTCCTTCCTTCCTTCCCTTCCTCCCTCCTCTCTCTTTCTTTCTCTCTCTTTCTTTCTTTCTTTCCTTCCTTCCTTCCTTCCTTCCTTCCTTCCTTCCTTCCTTCCTTCCTTCTTTCTTTCTTTCTTTCTTTCTTTCTTTCTTTCTTTCTTTCTTTCTTTCTTTCCTTCTTTCTTTCTTTTTCTTTCTTTCTTTCCTTCTTTCTTTCTGTCTCTCTCTCTCTCTCTTTCTTTCTCTTTTTTTGATTATCGCCCTGTCACCCAGACTGGAATGCAGTGGCGCGATCTTGGCTCGCTGCAACCTCTGCCTCCCAGGTTAAAGCAACTCTCCTGCCTCAGCCTCCCGAGTAGCTGGGACTATAGGCACGTGCCACCACGCCCAGATAATTTTTGTATTTTTAGTAGAGATGGAATTTTACCATGTTGGCCAGGCTGGTCTCCAACTCCTGACATCGTGATCACCTGCCTCAGACTCCCAAAGTGCTGGGATTACAGGGATGAGCCACCGTGCCCGGCCCACCTGTCTTCCTTTCTTGTGCTGTGAGAGTTATCTCACCTCAGAACTGGCTACTGAAGCAGTATTCCTTATGTTTTTACTAGTATCCATTTTCATTTTATTATTAATTGTAGTGTGTGTCACCCAAAGACAGGAACAGCCAAGTGTTTTCAGGTTACCTAACTGTAGGGCAAGGCTGTTTTGCACATGCTTTAGCCAAGGTGGGCACTCAGCTTAGGGACCAGCTGTGTATCTGTAAGGGTCTTTGCTGTGTCTCTGAGACTGCATTTGGCTTTTGACACATGTATGGGACAGAGAGTACACGTGTGTTTTGTGGCATGTTTGGGGGGCGGCAGGGTAACAGCAGTGGATGGCAGCTGACTGGCCCTGCTCTGAGAGGGACATTGAGCACTCATCCTTGGGATGTGGGGAGGGCAGACCTAGGATGCCCCCACAGGCTGGGCCTGACAGACCCCACTGGGACTGGCCTACTCCCCAGGACGGCTGGAACATCCTCAACTTCATTATCGTCTTTATCTTGCTCTTGCGGTTCTTCATTAATGAAATCAATATCCCCTCCATCAACTATACTCTCAGGTGAGCTGGGAGCTCTGGAGAAATGAGGGGAACCTATCTGGAACCCAGGAATGAGCTGGGGGGATAACGACCAGATGGAGATCAGCTTTGCCTCTCTGGGCAGCTGGTGGGGGTAATGAGGAGGGAGGGGGCTGGGAAGGGCCTAGGGGCACCCCTGAGAGGCTCTGCCACAGGGCGCTTCGTCTGGTGCATGTGTGCATGGCGGTGGAGCCCCTGGCCCGGATCATCCGTGTCATCCTGCAGTCGGTGCCTGACATGGCCAATATCATGGTCCTCATCCTCTTCTTCATGCTGGTCAGTGCCTGCCCCCACCCCCATCTGTTTCCCTTCCCTGAATAGGGCCCTTGGGTCATTGCGAATAGAGGGGTGTCTGGACAAGCAGAGAGGCCCGTGGGCCTGAATCCCTGTGATTTCCTTGGTAGCGTTCATTTGCATGACATTCGCGTGTCCTATTTCCAGGTCCTTTGGTGAAGTCGGGGTGGGGCTCTGTTCTCTCTGACAGGTTTTTTCAGTGTTTGGGGTAACACTCTTTGGTGCATTCGTGCCCAAGCATTTCCGGAACATACAGGTTGCGCTGTACACCCTCTTCATCTGCATCACCCAGGATGGCTGGGTGGACATCTACAGTGACTTCCAGTGAGTGCCAACCCACCTATGGGGCAGGGAAGCCGGTAGGGTGTAAGGGCTCTCCCTGAGAGTGGGAGCTCCAGGGACTGGGATGAGGATGGCCCAGTGGAAGCAGGAGTTCCCAGGTCTTTAAACAGAGGAAAAGGAAATACCTGGGCGTGTGGTACCTCAAGCCTTGTCGCCCTTGAATCTCCATACATTCAGAGTCCTATTCCAACCCTTTTGTGGGGACCTCAGCTAACCTCAGCTAACCAGCTGGGTAGTTGGCCTTGGATAGGGGAGCAGGTCTGTAGTTATGCCTCAGGTTACAGAGCAACCTCCCAGCCCACCTTGGAGCCCACCAAACTGCCTGAACTCCTGGGAACTTCAGGTCTCATTTTATTCATTCTTAAACCCATTGCCCACATTCATTTTTGTGTTCTGTTCTTTAGCTCTTTTCCATTAAGTCTAAGCCCTATTTCTTTCCAGTTTACTCCAGAAAGTGGGACCCCCTTAACTGATTTCTTTTTATCTTCTACATGTGAGTATAGAAGCCCAGTAGATAAAGGGCTTCTACGGTCATTCTCCATTATGACGTAGATAATGGATAAAAATCAGGCTGGCTGGGGCTGGGCGCGGTGGCTCACGCCTGTAATCCCAGCACTTTGGGAGGTCGAGGCGGGTGGATCATGAGGTCAGGAGATCGAAACCATCCTGGCTAACACGGAGAAACCTCGTCTCTACTAAAAATACAAAAAATTAGCCAGGTGTGGTGGCAGGCACCTGTGGTCCCAGCTGCTCGGGAGGCTGAGGCAGGAGAATGGCATGAATCCAGGAGGCAGAGCTTGCAGTGAGCCCAGATCACTCCACTGCACTCCAGCCTGGGCAATAGAGCAAGACTGTCTAAAAAAAAAAAAAAAATTCAGGCTGGCTGGACATGGTGGCTCACGCCTGTAATCCCAATACTTTGGGAGGCCAAGGTGGGCAGATCATGAGGTCAGGAGATCAAGACCATCCTGGTTAACACAGTGAAACCCCATCTCTACTAAAAATACAAAAACAAAGTGCAGTGGCTCACACCTGTAATCCCAGCACTTTGGGAGGCTGAGGCGGGTGGATCACAAGGTCAGGAATTCAAGACCAGCCTGGCCAAAAAGGTGAACCCCATCTCTACTAAGTATACAAAAATTAGCCAGGCGGGGGGGGACCTGTAATCCCAGCTACTCAGGAGGCTGAGGCAAGAGAATTGCTTGAACCTGGGAGGCGGAGGTTGCAGTGAGCTGATATCGCACCACTGCACTCCAGCCTGGGTGACAGAGTGAGACTCCGTCTCAAAAAAAAAAAAAAAAAATTAGCTGGGCATGGTGGCAAGCACCTGTAGTCCCAGCTACCTGGGAGGCTGAGGCGGGAGAACGGCATGAACCCGGGAGGTGGAGCTTGCAGTGAGCCGAGATCGCGCCACTTCACTCCAGCCTGGGCAACAGAGCGAGACTCCGTCTCAAAAAAAAAAAGGAGTGTAGCTAATAGATTAAACTTAATAGTGTTGATGTGCACGTCCCCACCTTGCAGGGTTGGTTAGAGAATCAGCCCACTGTCTGGCAGCACAGCAGGTGCTTAGTAGAGAGCAGCTATTGAGACAGGAGTAGGGAATGAGATCTGCACAACAGCAGTGACACAGGCAGAAGTCCTAGTAGGCCTTGGGATGATTTTCCCATTTCAAAGATAAGGAAACTCAGGCTCGAAGGGCCAGGGAAATGATGGGGCCCCTGCCTGCCATCTGCAGGACAGAGAAGAGGGAATATGCAATGGAGATTGGGGGTGCCATCTACTTTACCATCTTCATCACCATCGGTGCCTTCATTGGCATCAACCTGTTCGTCATCGTGGTGACCACCAACCTGGAGCAAATGATGAAGGCAGAAGAGCAGGGACAACAGCAACGAATAACCTTTAGTGAGGTGTGTGGGATGGGGAGGGCAGAAGGGAGGAAAAGGGGTGTGTATGAGAGCAGACTTGAACATATGTGCATGTATGTGTGTGCTTGCATAATCAAGGGCCTGGAGAAAGCCAAGTTGGAGGCCTGGAGGCAGCAGTCCCCCATCTTGAGTGCCCACCCCCCCCCCCACTGGGGCTTCTGAGGGGTGTGGATTTTCTAGATGTTAGATTTCTATGGCAAATCAAAACTGAGCAGCTGGGTGACCTTGGGGCATTTACCCATCTAAGCCTCAATTTTTTTCTTCTGTAAAATGGGAATAATAATAGTACTTAACTCATAGGGTTATTTTATGAGGGTTCATGGGTAAATGAACACTGCTTGGTGCATAGTAAGCACTCAATAAATGTTAGCTACCTTATTATTCATTCAGGGTAGTACTTCCATAAGGTTGGGGAAAGGAGTGGAGTACTTCTAAAAAAGTGGAGTGCTGGAGGCCTGGGCTTGAGGGTAGGCAGAGCTTTATAAATTTGCTGGGTAGGGTTTATCAGGGTTGAAATCTGGGTCAGGGCTAAATTTTGACAAGGGGTGAGAATTTTTAAAGAAGTGGGGGAAGGGCATGTGCATTTAAAGTTGGGTTCCTCCAGCAAGACAGTAAGGCTAAGACTGGTGAGAGCTGAAATGAAGGCCTTAGAACCCTGGGATCCTAAGAGACTCATCCTGAAGCCAAGCAGGAAAGGAGTGCCAGGGGCGCGCCTGCCTGAGCTGTCCTGACCCCTCTCCATCTCCCGATTCCCAGACAGGCGCAGAGGAAGAGGAGGAGAATGACCAGCTGCCACTGGTGCACTGTGTGGTCGCCCGCTCGGAGAAATCTGGTTTCCCCCAGGAACCCCTTGTGGGAGGCCCCCTGTCAAACCTCTCAGAAAACACGTGTGACAACTTTTGCTTGGTGCTTGAGGCAATACAGGAGAACCTGAGGCAGTACAAGGAGATCAGAGATGAACTCAACATGTAGGGGAGGGTACTGGGGGTGCCCCCAAGTCATGTGAGTCAAGGCTGGGTGGAGTGTCAGAGTCTTTTGGTCTCACACCCTCAACATTTTAGAAGGCAGACTCTGGGCCCTAGAGAAGTCCCCCACCCTATTGGTGGAGGAGCTGGAATCCAGACTCCGAGTTCCTCCCATCTCACACAAGGGCATAGCTTGGCCTCGGTCTCTGTCAGGGCTGTGTGGGAGAGCGAAGCGGGGGTGACACCAGGGAAGAGGTGGGAGGGCTGCTTCCCTCCCCTGCAGCCTTCTGAAAGGCACTCACTGCTCCACCCCCAGGATTGTGGAGGAGGTGCGAGCAATCCGCTTCAACCAGGAGCAGGAGGCAGAGGTGATGCAAAGGCAGTCTTCCACGAGCGGGTCATTGGAGACTACGTCATCCAAGGACGTCCGCCAGATGTCTCAACACCGAGACTTGCTCAGTGCGCTCGTTAACATGGAAAAGGTGTGCCTTCCTTCTCCTACCCAATCAGTACTCGCCCTGACACTCCACCCAGGTGCAAATGCCCAGCCGGGCCTCTGGACCATTTGTCAAAATTTCTGTCTATTCCAAGATCTGGTCCCCCTCACCACCACCACCCCACTTTTTTTTTCTTTTTTCTTTTCTTTTCTTTTTTTTTTTTTTTTTGAGATGGAATCTCACTCCATCGCCCAGGCTGGAATGCAGTGGCGTGATCTCAGTTCACTGCAATCTCTGCCGCCTGGGTTCAAGCGATTCTCCTGCCTCAGCCTCCCAAGTAGCTGGGATTACATGCACCTGCCACGGCACCTGGCTAATTTTTGTAGTTTTAGTAGAGACAGGGTTTCACCATCTTGACCAGGCTGGTCTTGAACTCCTGACCTCATGATCCACCCTCCTCAGCCTCCCAAAGTGCTGGGATTACAGGCGTGAGCCACCGCGCCTGGTTGTCTGCCTCTTAAATTTCCACCTACCCCAACTGTCACTGCCTATCTGGTTAGGTTTTGTACTTTCCTTCTTGGAGTGGCTCCACCCTTCCAGCCAGTTTCATCTCTAGCACCTTCAAACCTACCCTTTCTTAGTGTGTGTGGCATGAGCCAGCTCAGTGCCTGCCTAGTGGCAGACACTTAGGCTGTAAGTATACTGTGGGCACAGGACCCCAGGATCCTATCTAAGGTGCATAAAACCAGCTGCCTCCAGAGCTCCTGGAGAGAAAAAGGCACACACCCATGTTACTTAGTTTCTTTTTCTACCCCGACACCATCTGCGTGGGATACACCCTGGGCTCCCAAACTCAGAGGGGATACTAGGTAGGCTCAAGTTAGACCTATGAAGAACTTCCTGGGAGACCTGACTGAGGAAGCTGGTGAGACTGGAGGAGGTGAGTAAGGGAGTCTGCCATATCAGGGGAGGGGGATTAACAAGAAGACCTCTTGGTTTGCAGGTTCATGACTCTAGCTCACAAATACTCCTTAAAAAACGCAAGAACAGCCATTGAGAGGCCAGGATGGGAGCCAAGGGGCCTGCACACACACACCCAGCCGCTGTGTCTTCCTGTGTCCTTAGTGTGGCTTGGCAGAGCCTGGCCAGAGCCCATCCTCTCCCTTACACCTGGGCAGAGGCCGGGGGCTGTGAAGGTGGCAGCACCTGCAGGGCTGGTGCCTGTGAGCCCCAGGTCCAGAGGAGCCAGGACAGAGAAGGATGCTGGATGATGAGAGTGGAAACTCTAGCAGCAAGGATGAGCACAGAAGGGGGTGCTGGCCAACGCAGCCAGGATTTGACCTAAGGATGGGGATCCCTGGCCCCCTGCTCTTGCCCAGAGGTGGTGGGGGGCCTCAGTGGGCCCCAGCACCAAGAAGAGAAAGGCAAGGCCAGTGGGGCCAGACATCTGTGTGTTGACAATAAAGTTTTGTGTTGGAATTAATGTCTCTGACTGGTGGATCACCAACTCCTTGGGGTACTTGCCCGGGTCTGATAGGGAAGACAGATTTTGCCCCTCAAAATCCCATTTGTCTGGTGGGAGAGTCACAGACTGCCCTGAAGAGCCTCCAGTCTAATGGGAGGGAGAATTGCACCCCTAAAAATTTCTGACTTAATTGTAGAGATATAACCTTTGCCCTCAGGGTCCTAAGCTTTGCGGAGGAAAGTCTGGTCCTCATGGGAGGGAGCCCCTGTCTGATGAAGGAGATGGCCTTACCTGCTCTCTCCCTGTCTGAAGATGGAGACTGGTCCTCACTCTGGGGAGCCCTTGTCTGATGGGATCACCAATCACCAAGTCACACAAGTACAGGCAGCTCCATCCCAGGGCAATGGAGAGTGACTGGTTAAAGTGTGGGACTTGGCAGCTTCCTGGAGGAGAGGAGGATTTTGTGGGTCCGGTGAATGAAGTCTGATAGGGAACTTAGGACCCGTGAAGCCTATTTGGGATCTTCATACTCAAGGCCTTTGAGAGCCTCAGCAGGTATGCAATCTGGGGACAGTCAGAAAACTGTGGCAATTATGGGCAATAGAAAGAGCTGCCTTAGAGGACAGGAAACCTAGGTTCCGGTCCTTCAGTGGGTCACTTGGCCTTGTTTTCCCCATCTGTGCAATTGGGAGAGGGTGAGATTGATCTCCATCTCTAAAATCAAACAATACCCTCTTATCCCAGGAAGTGGAAGACCAATGGGATCAGCTATGTCCCTGGGATGCAGGTGTGCGGGGATAGCCTAGAAGGCCTGGACATCTGCCTGCTGTTCAGCGAAGCCTGACACTTACGGGCCGTGGCGATATCCACCAGTTGGAACGGGAGTCCCCAGAGGTCCACTGATTGCAGCTGATGGGAAACCCTACCCCCCATCCTCCTCCCATCAGCACTGGTTCCAGCTCTGAAAAGCCACTCAGCAGACAGATAAGAGGCAGCACCAGAGCCAGCAGTGCCTTACTGTCTTGGAGCCGTTAATCTATTCCCCTGTTCAAGCCAGGACTTCTTCCCGGCACCCTCCAGGACCATCAGCAGCACAGATAAGGGCACCCAGAGGCTTTTGCTGCTGCTGTTGCTACTTACTGGGGATGGCGCCCTTAACCTGCCTGGTGAGTATCTACACAATCTTTACACCCATCCTTCTCTGGGGGCTCTCTCAGCCCTTCTTCTTGCTGGCCAGAGAGGGAAGAAGGTGGCAGATCAGATGGTGTCTTCAGGAGAAGCTAACAGTTTGAGCATGGCTATCCTTTACCCCTAATTGTCTGAAAGATTTGGAGCATCCATGAGCTTAGAGGCAGGAGCATGGCAGGATGACCTCCATGGAGTTCCTGGCCTTGACCATCTCTCTTCCAGGATGCTATTTTGTCTATCTACTCCCTTCATCTTGTTCGTTATCTCATCGTCTCTGCCTTTGTCTTTCCCATCCTGGCCAACCTAATAGCCTGGAGTGTCAGCAGGCTAGTTCCTTCCCAAACTGGCCTGGAACTGAGGACCTAGGAAGGCATACTCCCTTCCCCTTCCCTACTGCAGCAAAGAGCAACTGCCACTCCCCATGCCTTACTGAGCCTGAGTTAGGAGTGCAGCCCTGGATTCTGAGCTCCTAGGACAGTATGGGGGAAGATATTGGGAGGTGGCTGGAAATTGTGGGTCTCATCACCCCTATGGTCTCACCTGATGGGTTTCCCATCAGCTACAATCAGTGGACCTCTGGGGACTCCTATGAATCCATAACTTTTACCAGGGATAGGAGCATCCTTGGCAAACTGTCCAGGAAGCAGACACCAATTCTGATGAGAGGAGCAGCAGGGGATAATCATTCCCAATAGCAGGTCTACTCATTGAGTAGTTATTAGGTGCTAAGCACGGTGCTAAGTGCTTCACACACAGTATTTCATCCTCATGACCATCAGTGAAGTAGGCAGTACTGTCATCCCTGTTTCACAATTGAGGAAACTGAGACTCAGAGACACGAAGTGATTTCTATGTTCCCCTGTCCCTGTGGGGGACTTATTCTCCATTACAAAACTGAGATGCTAACCCAGGTCTGACTCCAGAGCCCAGGTCACACTTCTCAAGGGAGCTTCTCTGGGCAGGAAACCTCAATATCAGAAAGATGTCAATCCACACTGAATCTATAATTGCAGGGCACCTCCAATCACAATTCCAACAGGTTGCTTGCAGAAATTGTTAAGCTGATCCTAACATATGTAAGGAAGAACAAAAGGCCAAGGATAGTCAAGGTAATTTTTATTTTTCTTTTTTGAGATGGAGTTTTGTTCTTGTTGCCCAGGGTGGAGTGCAATGGCGCGATCTTGGCTCACTGCAATTTCCGCCTCCCAGGTTCAAGCAATTCTTCTGCCTCAGCCTCCTGAGTAGCTGGGAGCACAGGCATGTGCCACTGTGCCCAGCTAATTTTTTGTATTTAGTAGAGATGGGGTTTCACCATGTTGGTCAGGCTGGTCTTGAACTCCTGACCTCAAGTGATCCACCCACCTCGGCTTACCAAAGTGCTGGGATTACAGGTGTGAGCCACCGTGCACAGCCTGTCAAGATAATTTTGAAACCCGAGATGGGAGACTTACCTTACCAAATATTGAGGCTTACTATAAAGTAACAGTAAGATAATGTGGAATTGGTTGAGGGAAATATGGACTTTTCTATAAGGGGGCAGGGATAATTGATTAACTACATGGAAAAAACATAAAGTCAGATTCAGTGGAAACATCCCTCTCTGCAAATAAAAACTTGAGACCCCTATAGCAAGACATATAGGTTCAGTTCAAACTAGATCTTTGTTGCAAACGGACCCCACAGATGACTAGAGTTTAGAAGGCTCCTCCACATTAAGCCAGGTCCTCATTATGCTGAGAGGAACATGAAGGCTGAGGGAGAGGTGAGACCTTCCCCAGCGTCACCCAGCAAGCCAGTAATAGAGCCAGGTCTAGAGCCTACATCCCCCTACCCTTTCCAAGCATCCTTGCCAGTTCCCCTGCCCTGTTGCAATCCCTTAGCTCTGCTCAGGGCTAGAAGAAAGTGGGTGTGGGACCAGGAAAGGTGGCTCATGCTTACAATCCCAGCACTTTTAGAGGCCAAGGCAGGAGGATTGCTTGAGGCCAGGAGTTTGAGAGCATTCTGGGTAACACAGTGAGACCTCATCTCTACAAAAAATAAAAACAAGACTGGGTGCAGTGGCTCACGCCTGCAATCCCAACACTTTGGGAGGCTGAGGGGGGCGGATCACGAGGTCAAAAGATCGAGACCATCCCGGCCAACATGGTGAAAACCCGTCTCTACTAAAAAAATTTAAAAAAATTAGTTGGGCATAGTGGCACGTACCTGTAGTCCCAGCTACTCAGGAGGCTGAGGCAGGACACTCTGTCTTCAAAAAAAAAAAAAAAAGGAAAAAAGAGAGACAAGAAAAAAATCAGCTGGGTGGTGGCATGCGCCTATAGTTCTAGCTACTTGAGAGGTGAAGGCGGGAGAATCACTTGAACCCAGGAGGTGGAGGTTGCAGTGAGCTGAGATTGTGCTACCGCACTCCAGCCTGGTGACAGAGTGAGACTCTGTCTTAAAAAAAAAAAAAAAATCAGCTGGGTGTGGTGGCGCATACCTGTAGTCCTGGCTACACAGGAGGCTGAGGCAGGAAAATTGCTTGAACCCAGGAGGCAGAGGTTGCAGTGAGCTGAGATCGCACCACTGTACTCCAGCCTGGTGACAGAGTGAGACTGCGTCTCAAATAAATAAATAATAAAAAGAAAAATGTTAGTCGAGTGTGGTGGTGCGCACCTGTAGTCCCAGCTACTCTGGAGGCTGAGGCAGGAGGATCACGTGAGCCCAGGAGTTTGAGGCTGCAGTGAGCCATGATTGCACCACTGCACTCCAGCCTGAGCGACTGAGACCCTGTCTCTAAAAAAATGTGAGGGTGTGGATGGTGCCAGAAAGGATCTGTCCCCACAGGGTTGGGGACAAGGGTTGGTGCATCTTCAGAATTAAGTGATGGGAAGGACAAAGACTGAGCCTGCTACTTGGCTGGGTCACTTCCAATTTTCTTTTTTTTTTTTTTTTTTTAGACTGAGTTTCACTCTTGTTGCCCAGGCTGGAGTGCAATGGCATGATCTTGGCTCACTGCAACTGCTGCCTCCCGGGTTCAAGCAATTCTCCTATCTCAGCCTTCCAAGTTGCTGGAATTACAGGTGTGTGTCACCACGCCTGTCTAATTTTGTGCTTTTTGTAAAGACGGGGTTTCATCATGTTGGTCAAGCTGGTCTCGAACTCCTGACCTCGGGTGATCCTCCCATCTCAGCCTCCCAAAATCCTGGGATTACAGGCGTAAACCACCAAGCCTGGCCAGCCTCTGATTTTCTGAATTAGCCTTTTGAAAACTGCCAAGAGGCTGGACACAGTGGCTCACACCTATAATCCCAGCACTTTGGGAGGGATTATAGGTGGATCATTTGAGGCCATGAGTTCGAGACCAGCCTGGCCAACATGGCAAAAACCCATCTCTACTAAAAACACAAAAATTAGCAGAACATGGTGGCACGCGCCAGTTCTCCCAGCTACTTGGGAGGCTGAGGCAGAAGAATCACTTGAACCCAGGATGCGAAAGTTGCAGTGAGCCAAGATGATACCACTGCACTCCAGCCTGGGTGACACAGTGAGGCTGAAAAAAAAAAAGAAAGAAAGAAAGAGAGAGAAAGAAAAAGAAGAAAGAAAGAAAGAAAGAAAGAAAGAAAGAAAGAAAGAAAGAAAGAAAGGAAGGAAGGAAGGAAGGAAGGAAGGAAAAAGAAAGAAAGAAAGGAAGGAAGGAAGGAAGGAAGGAAGGAAGGAAGGAAGGAAGGAAGGAAGGAAGGCGAAGGAAGGAAGGAAGGAAGGAAGGGAAAAAGGAAGGGAAGGGAAGGAAGGAAGGAAGGAAGGAAGGAAGGAAGGAAGGGAGGGAGGGAAAGGAAGGAAGGAA